CTTTTGAGTTGAATCTTGCTGCCACGATCCTGGAGGAGATTGGTTCCCACTGCATGAGAGCCTTCGATGCTCTTGGGGACATCATGATAGCCACTCCAAAACTCAGTGTGCTCGTGGTTGGCGTCTGGGTGACAATATCGGAGTATATTATTGATTCTCCAGTTGACAGTTTGGAGAGTCCACTCCCATTCCATCTGCTTTCGCAAATTCCAATCACTTCGATGTGATACCTTCTCATCCCATTTGCAATCTGGGCTGCCTTACTGGGTTCAAACATGGTGCGGACATTCCATGTCCCCACGTTTACTTTCGCTTTCATCGAGAGAAGACACATCGGCCAATTGGCTTCCCGAAGGCTTTCACCAACTGGCGTCATTTCGCCTCTCCGATTCCAGCGGGGAATAATTTTGTTTTTATTTTTTATATTTTGTTTGTGCTTTGAAGTTTCTTTGGTGGTCAGATTTGTTTTCCGGGGTAGGGTTGCTGGCCCTATGCCCAACCTTCCCTCTTTACCCGGGCTTAGGACCGGCTAGTGACTAGTGAACTAGTTAACCAGGCGAGGTTTCGATAAGCTATGGATATGATAAATTTTCTTTCTTACCAAGGTATGAAAGTTTGTCAAATAGTTTTTCTATACATAATCAAGCATTTAAATTCAGTGAAGTGAATACTTTGTCACACTATTTAGTCAATAAAGAGAAACCGATGACACAACGTATAGGCTTCAGTGCTAATCAAATGCAACCAACCAACTTTGTAATCCAACTGTATATTCAAGGAGATTGTACCCAGTATCGAAAAGTAGAAAAGCATTTACAAGTAACTTTTACTATTAGTGCTTTAAGCTTACTGAAACATCAGCAGCAAGGTGTGCTACAGTGTCAAGGATACTCACATACTCCTCAGAAATCAAACCTTATATATTCAGTGCTGGCACCAAAATATCTATGCCAAACGATTGGGGCAACATAGTTTAGTATTGACGTTTGGTTTGTAACCTATACAACAAGCGATCATATATCATAGCTTTGGATCTACTTAAAAGTGAAAATGACCTAAGATTTGTACAGTTTATTAGGATACTAATAATGGAGTTAGAGCAGAATATTTTAGCTTCTAATTGGATGCAGGTTTTTGGAAAGATTGGTTAATAACCTTAAGAAAACCAATATAAACAAACCAAATTGCAAAGAATAAAAGTATGAAGATGCATTTTCAGCTGGTGATCAACAAACAAGTATAAGTCGTTTGATGTCGCAAATGCCTGAAATCAACCAAACTAAGGAGCGATTGAGAAACTACATTAGAAGATTTTGTTAGCTGAAAACGGACTAAAGTGAAGATTAGTACGTAAAGAATAATGTAGTACTTAATGTTATAGTTTATAATTTATGTTTTTTTGTGCTTTGAAGTTTCTTTGGTGGTTAGATTTGTTTTCCGGGGTAGGGTTGCTGGCCCTATGCCCAACCTTCCCTCTTTACCCGGGCTTAGGACCGGCTAGTGACTAGTGAACTGGTTAACCAGCCGAGGTTCAAACTGTCACAAAGATATATTGCATAAGTCCAAACTTTAAAGGGAAAAAAAGGAATTCCAACTATTCAATGAACATTCCTTTCCAGTTTTTTTATATACTACCTCATAATTCATTCTCACGTTCCGTGATACCTCGATGTTTTTACATAATGGTTAAAGTTTTTATGATGTTGATCTGGCTCTAATTGGTTCAGCAATAGCTAAAGTTTCAGTACCTGCAAAAGTATTATTGATCAAATGGTGTGAAATGACAGTTTTACGGCTGTGAATAACAAAATCACTGAATGGGTTATTTTCAGTACCTTCAAAATTACATAGACAATTTGATTTACCGAGAATATTTTCTTTTCATTGATTTCTTTATTAAATTCTATAGTTATACATTCATAATGATGAATAAAAAAAATAAGTGCGTGTTAATAACAGTGAGATTTTATAATAGCCAATCGTTGATATTAAATGGTCCGATAAATCTCTTTAACGAAGGCTTTTGTAGAAGACAACGTTAGAATCAAATATTACTGGATTCAGTTCGAATCAACTATCTATGTAGGTAGTTGTATGTCTTATATAATACTGGATGGTCAATATAGATGAATATATGTCAACGGCTAGGACGTTTTCGACTCAGCTAAAGAAAGATGGTTGTTTGAAATTTGTCGATTCCAAAGCTTTAGAATAACGTTTATTTTCACCTTTGATCACAAGTAACCAGCAGTATATAATTCATTTTCGTTAATAATTATTTACTTTGAATAAGTGTTCTCTGATTTCGACCATCCAGCACCACCTTCGACATTATCACCTACGTATCTAATTATTTTGAAGTGAATCCAGTAGTGTTTGATTCGAACATTGTCTTTCACATAAGCCTTTGTTGTAGAGAATTTCGGGACCATTTAATATCAACGATTTGATGTGACATAGAATCGCATCGTTGTTAACACACACTTATTCTTTGATTAGGTATTATGAATGTCTTACTGTAAAGTGTGAAGAAGTTATTGGAAAGAATATTCTTCATTCATCAAGAAGATATTTTTCCTGAACTTCTTAACTTCTTCACGGTAGTTATTGCTTTAATTTTACATTTTCTTACTGCTACGCATATCTGTACTGTTTTTAGATTTTTATTACTATTCTGTTAACAGATAGTATTAAATTGAGCCTACAGCTTGAGAAGCAAAGAATTAATTCTTTTCGAAGAACTTAATGATTTTCGTCTGCGTAATCAGTGTGAGGTCATAAACGTCTTGCACTCGTTGATTACTGTTGCCCTGAAGACATTATCATCTAGGATAGATGTTAGTTGGTTGGAGGTAATCACCAAGAAGCCTTGAACCTATGTCTAGCGCTTGTTAGCACTCATCAACAAAAGGTTTCTGCGACATGGAGTCAAGTGATTTCCCCTCTCAGACTCGAACTCGCGTCACCGTGATGGTAAGCCTCCCAGTTTGGTCACCACATTGAGAAATGATCATAATTTGGTTAGCACTTAAGAATAGACAACATGAATTTGGGTGCTATCCAGTGACTAGTCAATGTATTATTAACCATGGCGAAAAAAATCTGATTTATGTTTGAAAAATGTTGTTCAGTCTATGTCATTTTCCTTTTTTTCTCACCCAAAATAAATTACTGAATGCGTTTGAAATAAGACTTTAATATCATTAATATCATTTCTAGACGACATCATCAGCACTAACTTCAGTATGAATTGAGCTGTCAGTATCTCTCCGTGAGTGATTTAGTAGCTCTGACGATGTGGTCTGTGATTGGTTGTTTCCTTCGATTGTTGTGTCATTGATTGTATAGACTTTCACGTTGGCTGTTCCTCTGCCTAACCTCTGACCTTTCTGTTATTTATCATTTTCCTTATTGGTTGATAGATCGGGTCTATGTCCATACATTTATTGATTGCTGACTGACCTGAATGCCAAGCTTCTAGAAATTCTCTGACATTCGTTGTGCTTCCTCTGTCCAAAATTTCTGCATTGTCGAAATTGAATTCATGTCCATAATTATCCACGTGCATTGAAATGAGTGGTGAAATGTCGCGGCGCTTAATAGCCAATCTGTGTTCATGTAGACGAAAGCGAAGAGGGTGGCCGCTTTATCCAATGCAGTGCTGACTACAGTTATTGCAGTTGATTTTGCAAATGATATTTAGTTTGTCTTCTTTGCTTGTTGCATCCTTTGGTCTGCATAATAGTGTTTGGAGGGGATTTGTTGGTTTATGACCTGATGATGTCGTCTAGCAAGGCGATGTATGCTTCACGACTAAACAACCCAGCTCAGAGAATACAATACAACCAAAACCATCCACCCTGGGCTACAAATATTTTCCATTAGTCTTTAATTTGGTTTATTAGCAGAAAAGTATAGAATCTTGGATAGATGTTGGTTAGGTAGGTTCTTGGGCTCTTTACCAGTCGTTACTCAAATGAGTGTCTAGCAATCGAGCTCAGCGTGCGGAACGTTATTTTCCTGATCATAGTATTTACAAACTTAAGTAACACATGTGTTGTAGGATCCTCAGTTTTCCACTCGTGTACCATATTTTCAGGCTACCGAAGAATGAATAAAGAGTTCTAATACTCATTGGCTGCTAAATGATTTATACTTTCAGTTGAAAACAAATTCATTTAATTGAATTTTAGTAATATTATATACTGATACATATAAAATGTCGATATTAGTGTTGACTAAAGTCAATAGTTAATTGCGTTTTGTACTTGAAACTGATTTCATAAGTGAAAGTAATTGTTTTTCGATTACTAAGATACATAACCTATGGGTAAATCAGTTTTCTTTTTTCAATTAGTTATAAAAGTATATACGTGAAACTTAAAGAAATAAAAGTGAAGTCTCAACAGATTATCATAAATAAAGTTGAGTAGCATAAAGGTAGTTCGTGAGTTTACAGAAAAGTCGAACTTCTGGTTGGTTTTAACTATGAGCCTTCGAAAAATTATCTTTATAGTCTTCTGAGAAATAAGGTAAAGCTATCTAGTAAGACTCTCTTTTCCTAGTAGTGAAGTCGAAGAGACTAAGCTCATAGGCTGTAAAGTTACCTTTATCCTATGTGCCTTAATAACAATGAATAATTGTGTTTTTTCGACTAAGATGCACGTTCAGGTGGCACTGTTTCATTTTAATGAGTCAAATATCAGTTGGACTAACAATTACCTTGGCGTTTGTTTGTTTTTAACTTTTGTTCGTACGGTTGTAATTACTTAAAGAAGCAAATTTAATACATGTAATCACGTAGGTGATTATTAAGTAATTGTCTCATCATAACATTAGATTTACTGCATTCATATTTTCTCATTCCACTGAACTATCAGGATACCCTTAGTTTTAACATCATAAAGTTCATCAAAATATTTATTATATGCATGTGCTCCTGCCAGACTAAGTCTGTGTGTCTGATGATCGGCTTTTATTCAAACTTGCTTTCTCTTTAGATGAGAATCCTTTATATTTGTGCATATTAGCATCCACCAACTCAGTGAGAAATATTAAACGGAGAAGACATCCACATTGGTTTACTATTCAATCGGAAGAATACTGGTTTTTAATACCAAAAGAAAAGTGAGTAAATTCCGTTAAATGAAATATTTGATTTTTTTAAACTTCTCATGAAGTCTTTGTGGTTGGCGAATAAATAGTCTACCGTTTTCATGATAAACTCACATATTCTGTGGACAATAGACTGTTATGTAGTTTACACGAAATTCACCATACTTAGGTTGGGGAATAGTATCTTATGAACCCCCTAGCGTCGAAAACGTAAGTCAATAATACTGAGTCCATTGTTCTTTTTTATCATACAATTAGAAGGAATTATTCTGAATTTGATTTTGAGATATAGTGCGTGGGTGTGTGTTGAATCATAGCCAGTTGTTTTCATTCCTTATGTTCATCAAGCGTATTGTGTCGAAGGGATTCTCGTCGCACTGCTAAGTCTCATAGTGAGTCATTAAGTAACATAATTACTAATTTACAAAAAGGCAAAAAAAACTGTGTAAACTGGATGAAGATTTCATCTAAAAATGTCGAATGTAATTTGCAGATTTTCTACAAAATACTTTAATAGTTTACCTTAATGATCAGTAAAAGACAAACAAATTCTTACAAAATCCAGAGAAACTTATATTTAATCCGTGTTATCGAGTGAATGCCAGTGTGGCTACTAGCATTGCCACAAAACGGTCTAGGTTTTCACACCTCATATCAGCATATCAAAACAGAAAACATCAAGAAGAAAGAGAGGTAGGCGATGAAAATGTAATCAAAGTTCGTAGAGAATCGCGAAAAGAGCGGAAAGATGGATAAGACAATAACGAAATGCGATATGGTGATTACGGTCAAGATAGTGCATGGGTGCATCTGTCCTGCATAGATTGACTCTAGAACATATCACATATTCTCCAAAAATCGAATTCGGTTGTTGCGTGCAACCCAACCCCGATCTCAACATTTCTTCACATACTCTTCATAAACAGTAGAGTTCTGGTAAAGTGATTCAAGTTGCAGTATACCCACCACCGAGGTTTTCTCAGCTTGAGTTCACTCCAGTTAACATTATGCAACAATGCAGATGTTGACTAGGCCTAGTTAACAAATTTTCCAGCAAACTCAATCACTGAGGGCTTAAAAACTCTTCAACTGACTTTCTTCTCTTCACCAAAACTCTACACTTAGTTTCCGCGTTACCGACTTGGTAGTTCCATGATACATGGACAATACTACTTAGGGTATCGTGGTCAAACACATGAAGATTAAAACTTCAGTGACATCAATAATGTAGTGAAGAGCGAATATGGTGCAGTAAGCTCAACTTTTAGAAGACTGTCGGATGTCATAGTGTAGTAATAGATGGCCTCAGTTGGAGAAAACCAATCAAGCATCTTGTATTCATACAACGATTTCATCGGTCACTGTTCCATATGCACCAATACGACATTACGAATAAGTGAAACAGTAAGTGTGTACAAGCAAAAACAGACAAACCAACATAGAACCCGTGTCTCATATTTCTATTATTTGTTTGTTCCTTGAGTTCCTAGGGAAAATGAGGCTTCGGCAACACGTCTCCACTTCACTCTCTTCTCTACAGTCTTTTAAACCTGGCTCCATGACTGCCCAGAAGCTTTCATTTCTTCCTCACACGATCTCCTCCATGTCACCCTCACCTTGGACGCCCAACTCATCGTTTCCCCTTTGAGTTCCACTCGAGGACCTGGTGCATGATGTCCCCGAATGGTGTTCTCAGTGTTTGCTCAATCCATATACACTTTCTTTTGCATATTTGTTGGGCGATAGGTTTTTGGTTGATTCGTTGCCAGAGTTCCTTGTCTCATAGCATCATGCAAAGAAGTAGACAGAGAGCAATTTACGTTAAAGTAGAAGAATTGTATGACAAGAGAGACAATAAATAGATTAGTGTTATTAACAATATTTAAAACAAAGATAACAGGAAGTGTATAAATCTGTACGACAGTAATCAGTTATGAGTCATATCAAAAAACGTTTCCTACCACTGACTCACATCATTTCGAGGACCTGAGTTAGGCTGCATTCACTTCTTTACATGACTCTGACCAAGAGTTATTGACATCATGGTTTCGTGCTACGTCTTGTTTTGGTCACCCTTGGATTTATTCCGACCCAATCTTTCTTCGGCTAGCATTGTGCTTCGAGGTTGTTAATGACTCGGTATGTGCAACATATATCCACGCCACCTAACTATTTGGAGATTCACAGCTTCGCGGACAGACTGACCTTTATTACCTGGCGCTCACATCCCAAACTCTATGTTGCTGCAGTCGTGTTTTCATGACACACTACAATGTTAGAAGGACGCCGGTAGCCAAATGCCTTTAAGCTCTTTATATCTTTTTCCAAGAACCATGTCTCAACCGTATAATTGGACAGAGTGGCCTGCAGCGCAATATACAGTTTCCACAATGAGTAGTCGGATATCTCACTAAAACTGTAAATGTCGTGAGTCAGCGAATGTCAAACAAGCCATTTTCGTCCATGGCGGTATTTCATCAAAAATACAAAGCCTCCAACGGAGTGATGTATGTGCCTTTTTCACTGAAAGGCAATTCGATTAGACCTCTGGGTTGATGAAGTCAAATTCTCATGTACTTGATTGTCTCTTTACTGACTTTTGTGACCGATTATTTCTCTATTTCTGTAGATATTGCTTTACCTTCATACACAGCCTTTTGATAGGTATTCATTTAATTCCAACCTTACAACTCATGCTTTCCCACTATCCTATCATGCATCATAGAATTTAAGTTCTGAGGTTTGATAATTGTCAATGTTTTTATTTTCGAAACCTGCCACGACCCAGGTAAACACCACCTTCAGTCATCACCTTATATCAGCAATGCGAATTTCCCGAACCATGGCAATCTCATATAATCACAGTGATCATCAATGTCATGCTATTTGTCTCTAATTCAAGTCGATTTGGATTAGGATGACAAATCCTAGCTGGCCAGTCAGTGTGAATACTATGAAGGGACATTTACACACCACAAATTCATGTGGCAGGCGGGAAAAAGGTTAATTAATTGGATGGAAATCAAGATCTCAGTATTCTCCTCTCATAGTTCAGTTGATAGAGCACAGAAACAGTAACCCGGAGGCCGCTGGTTCTAATATTGAGGCTACCATGACTTTTGTTTCATTTCTGATCATCATCCAGTATCGAATTCACTATTAATACTTAAAATCTTTCAAAATTCTCATAATAACTCAAAATACATTTTAATGAAGGAAAAATATTCTTTATAATAACTCCCTCCTCAGGGTTCTGCAGTTCTATTGTCATAATTATGTTAAAAACAGCTAGAAAACAGTCGATAATATTAAATAATCCGGGAACTCTCGAAAAGACTGGTTTGAAGGGCAGCATCAGAACCAAATATCTGCAGAATACAATGAAAAATGATTGATTATGTAGACGATCATACGTCTTGAATAACATTAGAAGATAAAAACCATTTATATCACAGAGTTGTTATTCAAACTAATTGATTATGAACGACGGCGAATATCCTGGGGCTAAGTAATTGAGATTGAAGCTAAAAGTGAATTCTATTCACTTCGATGGTGAAAAATTAATCATAAGTCAATACAATGTATTAGAGTGCAAGTGGAAATTGGGATAAACAGCAATAATCTAATAAAAACAATAGGTTAGTCTGCGTAAATCATGAAGACAAAAAAGAAGGCGACTCATAACGTTTATTTAATATCAGGAAGAAAGAAGGAAGTATTTCGACTTGTCTTTTGTTCACACGCCTTTGTGGGTGTTTAATAGAGCCGGATTCGAGAAACGAAGGTCGGTAATTTGAGTAATGTGTTAGGGCCTGTAAACAACTAAAAAGAATGCTATGCATACTGTCAGAAATTGTCATTGTGCTGTTCAACTTCGTTAAGGGAACCATATGTATGAGGATTTTCAACCCGCTTAAATAAAATTTTGCAGGAATATGAATATTAACAGAGATTTAATGAGTGACATTTCTCAGAGTCAAAGTATAACGAAAATAGAACGTTGTACACTCATTATCGAAGTTTCCCTTGGGAAGCTACTTTAGCATCCATTATTTGCTGTTGATTATTTGTCTTTCACTTCAGGAGTTTTTCCACGTTCACTTCAATCAACATAGCTTGTTGTACTTTATGAGTTAGAAGCCAGAGCTCATCATTGACTTCGAGATGAGATTCCCAAAGTTTTAGTAGGAAGTCGTGACGCGTGGGGCCAACCAAGTCGAACATGAAAACAGTTATTCAAGGATGACATTGGATTGGGGTTGCGCTATATCATGAACTAACAGAAGTAGAATATTTGGGTCATTGGGTTCCGACTAAATATCTTAATGGTGACTTACTGACTGAGGAACCCGAAGGTCCTTGGCTCTATTCCTGGCAGGGTCATGGGTCCATGCTACTGAAGAGTCCTTTTTAGGGCGAAACATATGGCCAGTGCTCTCAAGCTCCCAATGGTTTCCCAGCTAATGTCAGTCCATGATGAATATCAAACCGAAACCAATTAAAAGCCTGAGTACTTTGTTCTACTGCCTGAAATTACATTCAAATTTTGACCCTGTTACCTTACCTACCTAATATTAGGCTGAGGATAGAAACAAACTCTCTTATTGTTTTAAAAAAATTAAGAAATTGTCCCGACAAAGTGTCCATTAGCGGTTGAGTAAAATAATAGAAATCGGAAATGTTTATTGCAAACAAATGAATTTCATGGATGAAGTGACTTAAAATTTAACACTAATAAGTTTAAGCACGTAAATTAGTGTATCTAGATCCCGCCGTATCCGCAGTCAATAAAACACCGAGCAACAAAAAGAAGATAATACAGTGTATAGTAAGCTACAGGGTCAAAAACAGATATAACGACCTTGGATCATAAGGAAATTTTTGTGATTGGTTGTGGCAGAGTCATTAAATCAAGTGCTTACATGTAACATGAAAGAAAGCTTTGAAAATTCTCTAAGCTGGTCGAATGACCATAAAGATATAATCTATTTTCGAACATTAGAAAGCCTTCCTACCTGTGGTTTGCACGGTTTGGCACTCATCATCAAGGCGTATATGATACCTTGAAGAAACCGGTATTCCATAGGAAACTCGAGGCTATGTCATTCGATTCTAGAGTTGTCACCAAGCCTTTCAGGACTTTTGTTGAACTGAAACAGTCTTCTCAACTTTGGAATTGGAAGGACGATATCTATTTCCCATTAGGTGTCAGGCCTGATGTCGATCATGCGAACTTTTTAAACTGTTCAGACGAAGCTATGAAGTTTGTTATTATTTACTGGTGTTTCATTGCAAGTTCTGTTATAGTATGGTTCGAGAATAAAACAAGCACAAAACCGACTTGTTTAAGGTTGTTACAATGTGGTAATTTATCAGCAGCAAACTTGCTTCATTATCTTATCTCAGACATCACACGCTTCATACACATCACCGTAAAGAAATCACCTAAAGCAGGATCTTAAAACTATCACTTACTATCGCAGTGATCTAATGATATATGACGTTAATCGGTTGATATTGTATCGTAGTTTTAATCCGATCTTGAAGGAAATCAAATTTAACATTCCAACTTTCACATCTAGCGTGTACAATAAGCATCCATCAAGAATTTCATGAAAGCATTTTTGTAAGGCAGTGTGTAAAAAGAATAACAGAATGGCTGATGACTTATATTCAGACTCCAAAACACTGAAAACACTGATGACAGTAGTAGGAAATCCTAAAACGTTTGCAAGCTGCGAACAAGCCATTTGTTATGCTTTATTATTACTTACCACTAAATCGTTTTCATGGTGTGAATAAGGAAGTGTACTAGTGACTCTGTAACTGACGTTTCAACTACTATGTGGTGTATACGAAATCCCTCAATTTGAAAGTATTTTTCATTCAGGATTCATCCTTGAAACAGTCATATCGAAAAAGCACTAGACACCTCTTTGGTATTAGTTAGTACTCATCATCTTTATGTGTTTCCGGTACTGTGCCAAATGGAAGTTGGGAACTTCTAGATTTTCTGGTGGAGACCAAACCACTCAGCTGAATGTCATAGGAAATCGATTGAGTAGATCGGTAGAGTAGCATACCCATGACTACCTTAATACTACAACAAAATAAATCACTAGTGAATTTTTGATTTGAAACTTTCAATAAGCCAATGTTGAAAACTAGGTGCTAGGCCTTTTGAATGTATGCGTAGTGAGTATAAACTACTAATTGGTTTTTTTTGTCACTTCCTTTATTGTTTCAAAATAAAAAAGGGCAAAAGTTCTGTTCGATTTTCTTTTGACCTGTCAATTTCATGGATACGAGGATGATGTATACAGTGAAGGACATCTAACAGATACTAAAACAAGTCAACTATCGGTTACAAGTAACGAAATCAGGGACAAACCTAATATCAGCACAAATACTAAAAAACTTCATTCAAAATCATTTGGGAGTCTGAGTTTTCTTAAATCATTTAATAGTCCAACATCAGTTGATTCTCCGTCTATAAATGATGATGATGATGATATTGATACTGTTGGTAAGTTTGACAAAATATCCCATCATCATAACAATCACAAATATACTCATTATCGACACAACTACCATTGTCATTTCGTCGTTGTCCCGAAAACGTTCGACTGGATTTTACCACGTATCGGTAGTTCAGATGATCAATCCCGTGCACTGGTTACCCTGAGAAATCATAAACAAAAACGGGTACAAAGTTCCAAAGAGTTTCCGAAAGTAATTTGTGATGATGATAACAACCTTCAACAGGATGATACTTCGGTCAGTGCGAATGAATTACACAATGATGAACAGCAGTCACTTCCAAATTCTTTTTTAGGAGTGACAACAAACAGTGTACAGAAGATGCGAGGGTGTCATAGCATGCCATCAATGGAAGAAGAGAAAGCTGCATTGCAAACATTAAAACTAGATTCTATTGACTGGGAGGTAAGCAGTTATTTTGTAAATTAGTAGTTAAAATATTCATGCTGCATTCCATGAATGGTCGTATAAAGTTTTCCCCTAATTTTTAAATAGGTTGGTTAAACCAACTCAAGGATCACTAGTTATCACTTTAGAAATGCACGAACCATGAAATTTCTTAGCATCAGGTTATTCACCGCTAGGGTTCTGTATGGTTCCTTAGCGAATAAAATATTATCAGCTAAAAGGGAACACTTGTACACTTGGAGACAGCTTTCACCAGTGATCAGTACCAAAGTAAGAGTAAACCAACTACTTTCACTTTGGCACTTTTTAACAGTACCTTGTATTCGCAAATGAAACCTAGTACCACAGATTTCTAGTCAAACACAATGTGTGTGCTAGCCAATTCAATTTTTGTATCTGTCATTCCCATCATCAGTCGATTTTTGCGGCTAACTGGTTCATAGAATTTCACTGCATTAAGAATGACCACAATTATATGAACTTCTTTTAAATGGAATTGAGAGCTTGTGAAGGTAACACAATGGTTTCATTTCACTTTTCGATCTGTCTTCTGTTTCTTAACTTTCATTATGAATCCAAATCTGTTCTTCAGTATCGTTGATACGCATTCAGATTGCAGTTTCGTGGAATCGACTGATTACAAGATGATATTCATGATGGACTGAAATCAGATGGTGAACCATTGAGAACCTGTAACACCGTAAGGCTGTTTCGTCCTAGTATGGGGGTTGTTTTTTAGCGCGCAACCCTGATTCTTCCAGAGACCGAACATAGAGCCATCAGGTCTCGTGCCGAGCAGGTAACCATTAGGCCACTAAGTCGAAATCCGACTGGTCATGCTTTCTTACTTCTGTTGGTTCCCGATATAGTGAGACTATCATCCAATACCATTGGTAAGTATTTGTCCTCACATCCAATTTGCTTAGCCCATGTGTCTTGACTTCTCATTAGAACTTTGGGGAGTACATCTCAGAGAATTTCACCAATTTGCACCAATCTCTTTGGAGGTCTGTGGGAATTAGTTGATTTCAAGATAGTATTCATCTTGGACTGACATCGATTGGATTCCGACCCACTGGTTAAGTGGTAACATTCTCGCCGTGAAATCTGAAAAACAATTTCACATAGAACCTGACTTTACTGCGTAGCGGTTCAATTGGCCACACCTTATATCAGCACATGAAGCAACAATAAGCTAAGATTAAAAGTGGATAAATAGAGATGAAAGTAGTAAAAATTGTTAAAAAGACATAAAAGTAAAGAGAAGTGACAGAATACAGTAATGGAATATGACGATTAGGATGAAGATAATGTATGCATACATCTGCTCTACTGACTTTGATTCCGAACCATGTTACTTGAAGTCTCCAACCACCTGCTTTTTTTTATTATGCGAACCCCAACCGGCTAGTCTGTATCTTCCTACATGACTCAGACTATTAGCCGAAGAATTCATGCACTGATGCTTTGTTTTAGTCCGGTTATTCCTAACGTTTTCCTGCCCTGCATGACAAGCAAACGGTGACTAGACAGGAGTAACACATGTCCAAACTACTTGAAACGATGAAGGTTCACAACCTCACTAGCTGACTTCCTCCTCTCTTCTAAACTTTGCTTGTGACTTACACGTTACCGTTGTGCTGGTTGCACAACACAACTTATGCCACGATGGCGCGGATGATCAAACACCTGAAGCCTTTTTATGTCTTAATCGATAGCGGCTACCTTGGCAAGCTTGTTGGTCTTGCCTGTCAAAACTGCCCAACGAGCATTACTTTCTGGAACACTCCTTCCTTGAGGTCCTACCGTGCCAGAAAGTTCAGTTACACGGTGATAAGAAAAAAAGCAGTTACCGTTGTAGTTTAAATTGTCTCTCTATGATGGAACTCAAAGAGTTGAGTGGTACTGGATGAGGATGGACAACAGTAAGCTGTTTCCCGTGGACGAGTAGGCGTTACAAAACGTTGGTGTCAGAAGTAGCACACTCTTTCCTGATTAGCGTTCTTACGGTGCCAGTGTCGTTAGAATAATCAAATCTCAAATTATCAATTCTCAAAAGGCTATGTGTGACCGGCCTCAAGCAGATATCCCATATACTCTGGCGTCACACAAATCTTTTCCATCTTCTTATTCCGCTACCCCGCAGAAATAACTTGCATGATATGTGCAGCCGATAAATTGCAAACGTTCACACGCTTCCACGAGTATGCAAAAAAACTCAGCGAAACATAAATTAACCTTATAAGCTTTGTTTCATGTTTTGTCTTCATTTACTGATACTAATATCTGTCCCTCAAACCTCTTCAACCTCTAGCTCTGCGACCACTGCTAGCGATCCAAGCCATCGAAACACCACTTCTAGTCTCCCAAAACCCATCTGTGTTTTTGAGATACGTAGATAGAGCTCGAGTGTGGCTACCAACTTTACCTCACCTGACCTATTCGATGAATCCTTTAACTTCAATTTGCGAGTATTTGGAAGTTCTATAGTTAGCTCTACTGGACCAATGAATATAGGTGGAACATCACGTTATACAGAAGAAAACATATTTCTTCACTGGATATCAGTCAACAGCCGTCTGTGCACTGTTTTGCTGAATGGATCTGCAGAAACTAGGAAGGATCATGAAACTATCTCATGTCTGTTCATAATCTCTGCCTATGCCCCGACCAACTCCAGTTCGAATAATCCAAAGGATGAATTCTATGAGAATCCATCAACTTTACTGCAGTAATCAAAACGTTCAGATATAGCCATAATTTGAGACAACCTCAACATTCAGATAGGAAAGCTGAGCCATCTGTGAGGTGTCTGCGTAACTGCGTACCAGTGGACCAAAAATAGTGATTGTCTGTCGCAACGTTTGTTTCCATAAACATTTGTTTCTGAACACAACTAACTTTAGGCATAAGGAGAGACACTGTCTCACATGGTGTCCACGGACATCAAACCAACGACAGACACACATAGATTGTATTCCTGTAAACCATAACTGGAGGGGATAGGTGGAGGATTGCCACTCTTTCTGGAGTACCTGTTTGGACTCCGATCATCAGCCAGTACTGTCCCGCGTGTCTGCGTCTTACTGATTGCAGGATGCAGTTGGCAGTGAACTATCTTTGCTTGATTTGAAGATGAGAGGTGACTGCTGAGCACTCTTCTTAACCTAACGACTGCGCTCATCTTGAGGAAACCTGGTGGGATACTCAGCATACTTTTCAAAACTGTGATAAAGAAAGTCGATAACCTATCCATACGCATGCTGGCACCGACGCATCATCACCGTCAAAACACTTGCTCCATTAGGAGCGGTAGTCTTTCACTGACCCTCTCCATCGACAACTGTTAGCAATCTGATCTACCTGTGTTGACCGCTGAGATAAGATCAATGTACGCCACATCAGACAGTGTCTCTCTTCATTTCTGAATTTCATACTAACTATAATTGGTAGTTGTCTGGGTAGTCACCGTTTTCTGTTCCTTTGAATGGCATTCCCCAAGTAATACTGAAACGTCTTTCTATTTGACCTAGTCTACTTACTAGTGCATTGAAATCATTTAAAAAGAAAACCACATCTGAACGTTTGGCTAAACAGTTTTTGGAAAAACTCATCCTTCAGCTCTTCCTTAAATGCTCAAGATGAGTAATCTAGATTGCAGTTTCTTTGTCCTCATTCTTGAATGCACTGTTCACTCCGATGGCACTCAGGTGACTGTCAACTAGGATCCATTCGAGCAGTACACTTTCTGCCCTAGTATTTAAAGCTACACCTGCAAGACTACGAGAAACGGCTATCAAGTCGATAGAAACTGGGATGGTGGGTTTTGTAGACTTGCCTTACTGGCCGAGTAAGGATGATTAAGAAACCGATCTTGCCTTTTTTTATTCGCGTTTCACAAAAGCAGCACACATTTATGGCCTGAGATGCCACAGTCTTGACCAACAAAGATTGTTATCCAATCCGGTAAAGGGTATGGACATTGAAAGCTTCAATGTGTAGTTTAAAGTGTGGTTTCGGGAGACCGATGATGCTGATCTGTGAACTTTAATCATTATCAAGAGTTGCAAATCTAAAAGAAACTTAAAATTATGAAGGGCTGTTGACCAAGCAAGAGATGGGAAGAAAGATCATATGGCAAGGATGTTTAAAGTTGATAGTTATATGAGGAAGCTTGAGTGCTGGTCAACAATTATCGGTTGCTCAAACTATAGAAAGCTAGTTATTCTTGAGGCGTAAGTATGTAATTGACACGTTTAGTCTCAGGAGTTGACTTTCAACCAGTGGGTTGCAGGTTTGGATCCCGCTGCACCTACCAAGGTTTGGGAAGCCAGTTAGTATAGCTAACCTGCACACAATATGTGTGGCTCATTGCCTACTGCATGGATGTACACAAGGTTGCTGAGTACATTTCGATTCCACTTCGTTTTCGTAACCTGAAGTAACTCTTCAATGCAGTCTAATTGCTAAACTAAGGAACAGTTACTCAGTAACTGTTGCAACCACACCTAAACAATGAACACTGAAATTCTAGATAACTAGATTTTGGTTTGTCAGTCGCTGAGACCTAATTTCTTATTTTATAAAGTCTCTTACTAGACTAGCAATCTGAACAATATCCTTCTCCATTCTTAAATCCCTAAATCGAAAATAAAAATTGGCTTTTCACATTCATACATTTATTATCTGTTAGGCTGACTCTCACTTGCTTTGCAAACCACCGTAAAGATACCGCAAAGTTGTAATAAGAGATTCATAGGATACACTAGTTAGCCATCATTACAGTCAGAAAACAAACATTTGATTCAACACACCACTTGTTTATGCAGCATATTTTAACACCATTAATATTTTAACTCAGATAATTTCAGTATATTTCTATGCAGTTCACTTATTTTTTTTCTATTGAAACAAATGACTTGTTTAGGGGTTAAAATCCTCATTTCGTTCTGTTCGAGACAACCTGAATAAATTGGTAAGACAGGTCCATTATACAT